GCGGCGCCACGTTAAGATACAATTTTGAATAATAATTCATTACAAAAATGATAAAATGCTGAACATTTCCATGCTTACAATATGCAGGTCCGATTTTTAGTTCCTCAGATATTTTAATCTTATCATCCTATCAATTTAAATACATATCTAAATTAATCTAGATAGATAGAAATTTTATTTGTATTTGGGAGGTTCCCAAAAATGATCCAAAAATCTAGGGTTTATAGAAATAGAGCCTTGCTTGGCTATTGTAGAATAATATGGTTTTACAAGTTTTATGGTTATGGTTATGGTTTTACATATATATCATTTAAATATAAATAAAATTTACAATGTTTTACGTTTAGAATGGGCTTCACAAAATATTAAACAATAAAAATTGAAAACATAAAACGATTACTGCATAATAATAGTTATATGAACCTGTTACTATGATAGAAACATTAAATATAAAAATATTTGTATATATTAACAAAATATTACTTAGATAGTAATAGAACATGGGTTATGATCAACAATTTTGTGTACTCCCATCATATAATAATAAACTTTATTTAACTTATCTATACAATCGATATTCAGTATGGATTCGATGCTGTGGTTATCAGAAGATTCTGAGATGAGTTTTGAAGGAATTTTTGTCTATAGTCATTGTATGCTGGGCAGTGAAGGAGAATGTGATGTAGATTATTCTAGATAAATTGACTGCATGATACACAAGTTTCTTGAGACTCAATCGAAAACGTTCTGTTTTTTTGCATAGATTCTGATATGTTCTGGGTTTGCAACTCTTAATTGACTAACACATCTCAATTTCTTTATATCGACTTTGAATGTAAGGCACGTTTCGGGATCGGGAGCATTGTAACTGCATAGCATTCTGTATAAAGGGTAGTGTAAAAATAATGGTTGTGTGCTTTTTCAAGGATGTCGCATTTGTATCGAAGAAGTCCGTTTGTGAGGTGAACAGAAAGCTCTTCTGCAAAGGCATTAAGCTCGGCTATTGCTCTAAATCGAGACACCCAATTGAAGTTTATGTCAGGCTTGTCCTTGATGATAATGATTTAAATCTATTAAAACAAAGTTTTGGGAGTCGCTCTTCTGGCATGAACTCGAGCTTGGTCCATAGATTTGTCATCTTTTTTAGTAGTAAAAATTAATTTATGAATGTATAAGAGTAGAGAGAAAAATGTTGGAAATATGCAGAGACGAACACTAGTAATAATAAATATATAAACATGTTTGTATAGCACACTAGTCGAACTATGTAAAAGGTTCTTATATACAAACTATTTACTTTGAAAGATGGCTCTTTGGAGTTTCAGACAAAGGTTGTAAAGATTTATCTGATAGAATGACTTTTAAAGAAAGAATTCGTCAAATAAAAACGTAATAAAATACGACGTTGTGAGTTCGTTCACCTAACGGCGAGTTATGCAACCGCTCAATGTCACACTAGATCTGCCCGTACTCGATCGATTTATCTAGGATCGAGTTCCGGTTAGTTGAACCTTAACTTGTTTTTTATTTATGTACATTAACAGTAAGCTTATTTGTTAAAAATAAAGAAAGAATCGATTTAACTAACTTTGAATATTCATCAGTTTCATATGACCTTGTGCAGACGCGGATTTCGAGGTCAAAGCACTTTCTATAAATACACTTCAATTCCTTTAACCCTCACACATACCATTAAAAAAAAACAAAAAATGTTTTGTATTCCAAATAAGCTGCAGTAAAGTCAAATAGAATTTTGACTTGGAGGTATAAATGGTAAAATTGTGAAACATTAAAGCAGGAGCTCCCTTGGATCGTAAGATAATTTGATCACAATAACGGGAAAAAAAGTAGCCTACAAAAATTTTAGACCGTTTGACCTATATAACCTCGTTATTTTGATAATTTGGGGGTGTAGGTCACGCCAAACGCCTCAATACTTTTGAAGGCTACTTTTTTTTTTTTCAATTTTTTGCTCAAATTATCTTACGATTCAAATGGAAAACAAATGGGTATCTACAGATTTTTAGTACCTAATTAAATAGACAAAGTTTACCGATCTCGAGATTGAAAACGCCTCAATTCCGAGAATTTCCGTAAATATAATATTTCTAGGTTACAATAAGATGAAGCTATTAACGAAGTTTCAGGCCGATGTTAATAATTTGATGAAACGAGGTCTGTATCGCGGACTACATATTTTGTCTTATCCGTATTTCTTTTGAGTCCCAGTTCTTTACCGGATTTTTTTAACATTTCCGTATATAGTTTTACATTTTCCGTCTTTCGCTTAATCGGACCAAATCACCACCACAGCAAAACACGTTTGCAAGAGAATTTTTTTTAGCTATTTATATATAAAGTGATATAACTATATATGATAGGTATTTTACAACAGTAGATTTATTTTTCTTTTAGGTTTTCGGATTTGAAACTCTTGAATTATTCTTTAAAATCTTTTCAAAACTGATTAGATCATGAAATGAGATAATAGAAAATGGAACATTTCATCCTTCAATTGTTCTTCCATTCACTGTGTAATGTTCACCGTTTTGTGTTGGTCGAAGATGAACACGAATACACGATCTACTTCCACCATTTTTTCTTTGGATTGTTCTTTTTCTTCGACATGTTCCGGTTCCGCAATTACATGAAGATGGAAATAACCTTGACTAACCTTAATCGCGTGTTGATGGAGTCATTTTCTACTCTATCTCGTCGCTGCTTCTTGTTTTATATTCACAATATAATAATAATAAATATATACACAATAGGTATTAATCTATGAACTCATTTAATTTTGTTAAATTAGATTTTTATACAAATATGTAAATAGGAGTTTAGATTGATTTTTACAATTATTTTAAAACCCCTTTTAACGCGACAGTTTCTAGTTCCTAAAAGTATCTCCCGATTAAATATGATTAGTAAAAAAAAAATAAACTATTATTGCTTTAGAAATAGTGAATTTCCGTACGAAAATTTTATTCAAAATTATGAAAGAAATGACCAATTAAATTTATAGAAATCAATATTCAAATGATGATATAAATTCATTAATATATAGTGTGTTTCTTAATTTCACGGCACTATTTTAGGCATGTGTTCACTAACGCAAAATAAACAAAAAAGTTCATATTAACTTATAACTCATTTATTAAACAGATATCAAAGGTTAAAGATTTATTATTACTATTTATTTATTATTATTACAGCATTGAGAGAGTAACTGTTAAAGGGGCCCCCGTTTTGTTGAATGCAATATCCAGCCCCACGCAAAATAATCTAATGATTAAATCAGGAGATCGTGGTGGCCATTTAACAGGTCCATTTCAACCAACCCATCGGTCTCCATAAGTTGCTATTAAATTATCAGTGACACTATTAGAAAAGTGAGCTGGAGCACCGTCATGCATAAACCACAGCCATTGCGTACTGCCTAGCGTAGTGAAAATCAGCAGATTTAAATTTGAGTGTAATTTAAATTGTATTTACTAATTAATTCTAACTTATACATTTGATATTAATTACGAATTCCAATGTTAACGTGGAGGGTTATCTAAATCTGGAAAAAAAACTAGCCAGTAGTCTCAGAGAAATGCTGGAGATGGCGAATGGACAAATTTTATATATATATATTTTTTTTTTAAATAATTTTTGGTTACAACGTATCTCAGTACATAAAGCGTAACTTTTTTAGGGTGTTTACATTTTTTTCTTAGTCGATTAAAAATATCCACGATATCAATATAGAAGTAAATCGTCTAATAATATATCAGTATGAGAAAGAACGGAAAATATAGACAGTAATGAATGTTTGAATAGATTTAAGCATTAAAAAAATGGGCTACTATAAAATAAAATACAAAAGTTAATTAGTTAGATAATTAGTTAAAGGTAATTAGTTAAATCTCCACCTTGTTTATGATTTTAAGTAAAAAAATAAATATATAAATAAGTTATATTAGAATAGTTACCTAGGACTCCATCTGGACAAACGTCTAACTTGGAATCCTCATACCAGACTGAAACGACAAGAAACAGCTCGACGTTTCCGACTACTTCAACACTTACTAGACAAACGCTCTAACCTCCCAATTAATTATAAAAGACTCATTTACATGACTATAATAAGGCCTATTTGGACTTACGGAGTTGAGCTATGGGGTTCCACCAAACCTTCAAATTCCTCTCGCATCCAATCCTTACAATCCAAAATCCTTCGTAAAATCCTCAATGCTCCTTGCTTTGTTACAAATAATGACCTTAATGTTCCTTATGTATTTGCCCCAGATTTGCCCCAATCCAGATATATGTTCTTCCATAAACTTCATTACCATCCCAACCCTCTTGTTTCTAATCTTGCTTCCTATTCAATTCCTGATAACCCTCCGAGGCGTCTGAAAAGAAGATGGCCATGTGCTCTCCTAATATAGACATATTATTAGAGTTCTACCAATGGGTAGTTTCTCAACATGTGTTTTATGTCATTATATCCATGTGCGAATTTACCAGATGTATTTTTTGTATACAGTTGTAAATATCATATAAATAAATAAATAAAAATATTAGAATACTAGGAGAAGCTTGTTCTTTTCACTATTTGTTTAGTTTAGATTTTTGTTGTTGAGTAAAGTTCATCAAATACATGATTCTGAGTAAATTTAATTCAGTCTTTGGCAATGTGATAAATATCTGACAAAGAAATCAAGTTTTATAGTGACTTTAAATACGAGAGCAATTAGTTTGTGTTTAACTCTGTAATAAATAGTAAGTGTAATCACATGTCATCCTAAGCTTTGACAAGTCTCAGATCTTAAATTATATAATATTAGAGTGCTTATATAAAAATTTTATTATAAAAAAAATGTTTTTTAAAATTATGAAGAAAGTATGAGATGTAGCAATAGTTATTTGATAATCTCCATGTTTGGTGTTGTATGTTTGTTGTAAGGTACTAATAAAAGATAATTGCAGATATGACGAAGCTGTTTATGATACAGGTCTGTTATTCCAATTGCTGGGTGGGCAGCCATTCTACTGGGGACCTCCCATCCTGAGGATTCCCTTCTTTAGCAACGGTATACCTATCTACCTCTATGCAACCGCCAAATCTCTAACCTCTTTGTAATTTTGCCACAACTAATAACAGAGCTTTTTAGTATGTTGATTGTTGGAGTAGTATTGTTGGTTCGTTAATGATTATGGCTTGTTTTTTATTTTTTTGTTATTGTTGATTGAGGTTGTAACAATTAATATCATTAATGACACATGAAGGATGTGGTGATGGTTATCCACACCAATTATTTATGCTAATACATGCAAATTGATTTTCACAGCAGCTGGTAATTTACATTTTGCATTTTAGATTGATTGCTTATACAATATTTATAATTATTCAGCTTTATATTTTGCGTTCAGAAATGATTTCCTAATCTGAAAGACTAATAATGGCGATAATATATAAAAAAGTTAAAACATCAAATATCGAAGGTTATATCGTTTATACATAACATATAGTATCGATCTTTTTCTTTTTGCTTGGAAAAAAATAATTGAGGATTTTGTTAATTATAATAACGCTTATATTTAAATTATAATAAAATACCAAATATTTGTGTGTCAAAAACTTTGGTTTCGATTAAATTAAATTTTTAAAATTTTTATTTAAATAGATATTTTTGAATTTATTAGTTTTTAAAATAATTTATAGAGGTCTTTCTGTATAATATAATATATAATATTGCAACATAATATAATGCCTGAAGTAGAAGTTTAAGTATGAAACATGTGTTTCTAGTAATAGAATGGTTTACTCTGCATTATGGTGGGTGCATGGATAATAAATTACATAATTATTATTTACAAGTTTATTAAATAACAATAATAATAAACAGCTGATAGAATACTATGGAAATATATTAATTCAATGTATTATGAATTGGAAGAATTCATTTTCTTTTTCTTGGTCGAATTAAAATAGTTAATTCATAAATATAAATCAAAACATTTGTTCAATTTACTATAGCCTATGTAGTGTTTGCTCATAATTTTCCTATTTCGATCTTTATTTTTGTTTTGTAGGAAATTTTGTAGGCTTTTAATTATTCATGGAGTTAATCCATCGTAAATTGCATACTTTTTCTGTTATGTCTAAATTAAGTTTGTTTGTTTAACTGAGATGTTGGGAGTTGTGTTTACACAATCTTTAAAATGATATTCCGATGATTGGAAATAACGAAGATATGGCGAAATGAAACACCAGTAAGAAAAAAATATATAATATATATTGTATTTATTTATGAAATTGTTATTTAGTTGTGTTTTTTAATAAATAAAAACAATTTGATGCCACTTTCGTGTTGTTTTTCAAAATGTCAGCAATATTATTTTCCAACTCCACTTCATACCGATAATTCTTTATAGGCACAACGCTCAGTCTAGATGTGGATCACCGTGATATTTACCACGCAGGAAAGAAACTCAAGAGATGCCCCCTTTGTCATGTTTTAGCTTTGAATGTCCGATTTGTAGTTTTACTAGGCTGATCTCTTTTATTCTTTTCAACTGGAAGTGCACTCGATTTGTAAACACAGAGGGCTGGAAATTGTAATTTATCTTAAGAATCAGAATCCATGACAACAGTCGCATCAAGATTTGCTATCGTAGGTATAAGGTTGGGTTCAAACGGAAACTGAACAACTGTTCATTTAAGGGCTTTAAAAGGAAGTTACTTAATCTTAAAAATTGTTAGAGTTATCCTTTACTCACAAAAATCAGGGATTAGGAAAATAGGTTTCGCCTATATTTTATTTCGCCATATCTTCGTTAGTTCCAATCATCGGAATATCATTTTAAAGATTGCGTAAACACAACTCCCAACATCTCAGTTAAACACGGTACGTGTAAAAATGACAATTAATATTTTATAACATTTCTTTGTAATCAATACTAGAAGCAATAATATATAAATTACAATAGGCTATATCTTTGTTGATACTGGTCCGGTTTTCTTGGTTTATTTTTTTTTCATTTTTTAAGGAATTAAGTAAATTGTTCAAATAATAAGGGCTCTAATCAAGAGAAATATACATACTTTTTAAGTAATTCGGAAATAAATTTTCTGTTCATTCATAACTTTTTTCCTTGAAATTTCGAGTTTATGTTACTATGATTCTTCACTGTTCCATTTAATACTCTTTCTATTGATACTTCATTCATCAAAATACATCGCTCCTGAGAGCAGGTAAGGGGATCGTTACGGCAAAAAACTGTCGTATTATAGTGTAAGATAGTAATAATCTGACACATTGATAACAAGTGGTCATTCATACAATATACACATACAAAAGGGACATAAATATAGATGAATACAAATAAATAATAAAGACGATAAAATTTAAAATATAAATCAATAGATTAAAGAATCTTTTAAACTTGGCTTCTGAAAAGAATATTGCATCGATACCTTCTAATATAGAACCATCATTGGAGTGCTACGATGTTCATCTACAAGTTTGTCCATGTAATTATGAAATTTCCTCGTCTACTTAAATATTTATGAGGCTGTTATTTCGTTCTGGAATTCACTGTCCAATTATCACCCAACTGAATATAATTATTACCCATGTCGTTGAAACTATTTTTCTTAATTTACTCCTTTACAACTTTGTTTTCTTCTATTATATTCTAACAAAAACGTAATCAGTATTTGTAATGTTTTATTATATATTGTATTTGAAACGAATATTCCTCTTCCGCGAAATGAGTTATGAATTTCAGTTTATTTATAGCTAAATCAACATGGTGTATTGTATGAGAAAGTATCTTTAGCAGTGAATTATGAGAACATAAAACGGTAAAGTGCAGCTAGATATAATAACAGTGTTGCCGATTGCACAATGCACTGGACCGGGCTGCATTGGACATGTCAATTACTTAACTAGGGAAAGCTATTTCCCCTTTTACTATCTCTTTGGGCACTAAATCGATTTTATTTAGATCACGTTCACCAACATAACGATTACATAGAGTTATTAACGACATTGATGGAGTACTTAAGTTTTTTTATTTATTGAAATTGACAACTGTATTAAATAAATACAATAAGTAAAATGCTCAAATCAGAAATAACGACATAAACAGACTGGTCGTGATACTACCCAATGGTAGCACTGACTAAATAGATCTAAGTAAGAAGATCAAGAGGCCATATTCTTTTCAGACGCCTAAGATGATTATCAGGAATCGAGGAAGAAGCAAGGTTAGAAATGGTTAGTATTAGGTTTATAAGTAAGTAAGATGTTTGTCCAAGTGGAGTCCTAGGTAGTGGATATGTTCAAGAGGACTAAGTGGGATATTATTGAAGGATACTCTAGAAAAAGAAGTCATAAGTTTACGAAGGAGGATAAAAGTGGTCTGATGGGATTTATAGGAATGGAGTTCTAGAGAAAAACAAAATGTAACTGGTTTATTTCTAGTTCTCGCCCAGGCATTCGATAATCTGGCATCTGTGCCTTCTTTTTAAATTTAAGTCCATCATATCTCATAACTGACAGGGCTCAGAGACTTCTTTAGTCCCAACAGAAAAAATTCAAATCAGGAATACCGCAAGGATCAATACTGGCTCCTTTACCATATTAGTATAGGATTTAATTTTAGGGACTAACTTTTGTATCGATTTTTTTAATTAGCTTATGCAAGTAACAATAATTACAGAATAAATTTTTTTGGGGGGAACAGATTTATGTTTTTTCTAACATTTAGTAGCTCAAGGATGTACTTTTTAATAAAACGAGAAAATTTCATTGTTAGAGTATTTATCATAGATCACTTGATACCTGATGGACATTTTTCTCCAAATCATGCCGAAAACTTTTATTATCTACACCGACGGATCTCAGACCAATCAACAGCATCAGTCGTAACCGTGTAATATAATGTATACACTACGGAACTGTTTGCAATAACAGAAGCGCTTCAGTGCTGTATTTCAATAAACCAAAAAAAACATAACATTATAGTCCGTGGTTAGTGTTGTTCAAAATCGGTCTTGGTCTTGGTCTTTGCCAATACGAAGACCAAGGCCGCCTAGCTGTTGCAAGACCAAGATCAAGACTGGTAGCAAAAGGCGATTTTTTGGATAAAACTTAAGGCAAAATAGTAACTAAGTATAGCCAATATACTTTTGCATTTAACTCCTCTAATTTTTCATTCGGACTTACTTAAGTTTCTCCTATCTAAAAAATTACAGTGATACCTCTATAGTAATAAACTAATATGTAACTGCAAAACTGTTTTGAAACTCCTGCGCAAGACCGACACCAAGACTTGTCACGGACACTATCCGTGACACAGATAGTTTTTTTTATTAAATTATTAACATCCACCTAAAACTTCGTAAATAGCTTCATCTCATCATAACCTATAACTATTTTATTTACAAAAACTCTTGGAATTGGTGCTTTTTCAATCTTGATATCGGCAATCTTAGCCTATTTAATTAGGTTCTAAAACTCATAAATACCCATCTGCTTTCCACTTGAATCGTAAGATAGCTTGAGTACAAAATCAAGAAAAAATGTGTCCTTCAAAAAACTCGAGACATTTGGCCTACACTCCACAAAGAGAAACGCTCGCGCTTCCTAGACCAGACTTTTCTAACTCCAACAGAATTAAGTAAAATCCTCAAAGATCAAATTCAAAATGATAATAAAACCTTAGAGTTAGTCCTCAAATTTACGAAATCCCTTAACACGTTAACAAAAATATAACATCAAGTAAATAAAAATAAATAAATAAACATATGTAGTATTTACATAATGGGAATATAAAAAGAAATTAATAAATAAATTAAAAATTAAAAATGAAAAATAGATATTATTTTTATTTTCATCTTAATAAGGGGACCCATTGACTCAGTGCATAACCTAAGCAGTTGCAACCTTCGCAAACTGTCTCACATTGAAATAATCTAGAAGACCATATCGCTGCTACGCTGCAACTAATCGATTTGATCAATTGAATAGCAACAGGAACTGGAGGTCGCAGTACCTGGATTCGGTTCGACCTCGTTTGTACT